CGATACGCATGCCGGTACGGTATTGACTACTTTGATCAACACCGTTCCACAAAGCCGATCCAGTAGTGAGAAATGCGGGCACTGGATTGGAAAGGTATCTCCGGCTATAGAACCTCAATCGCTGATCAACACCATTCCACGAAGCCGATCTAATGATGAGAAACTCTCTCATGAACCTCAGTCCTTCTTCCTTTGATTTTTTTTGGTTCCTTCTTTCCAGCCAAGCTTTTGTGACAGTTTAGTGATGATGATGATGAATGCCAGAGTTGAAGTAGATCTCAAAATTGAAACTTGAAAGAGAATCGAGACCAAGGAAGGAAGCCTGGATGAAAAATTAAGGAAAATTAAAAAAAAAAAAACAAGTCAAGAAATCGGGGAAAAGAGATCTGAAAGAAGTTCGGCAAAGATGATGGTGAGATGGAAGTTTTTGGGGTTAGGAGAGGTTGATGGTTGGAGAAGAAAGTAAAATCTAATAAATATGTAAAAAAAAAAGTGTTTTTTAGTTGATCAGTTAGATCGATTAGATGTATTGATTCAATCGATTAAACCGAACTCGATGATCAAAACGGATCAACCACTGAACCAGGCTGGGCCCAAAAACATTACTTGTGATATTATTGTTTTGCAACACATGTAACAAATTGTATGGTTCGACTCTTGAGCTTATTTGAACATGTTTTTTTTTTTTTTATTATTATTGTTAGCAAAGAAAACTTTATTAAGAAAGTACAAAGGGTTTTTCGAACTCACATATATTAATAAATTATAGATTCATCATGCACCTAATTCTAGAACACATCAAGATAACTATTAAGGTTCTATATCAGATCAAGACTTCTAAAAGCCTATAGAGAACAAGACACTACACCTTTAATACTTAACCCAACCTTCTCATTGTGAGTTGGCAGGCTTCCTAGTGTGCCTTGTACCAATCCCCTTGAGATAAGTCAAGTCTTACTTTTGCTTTAACCCAAGATATATAGGGATCTAAACTTGATTAGTTCAAGTACTTTATTGTGTGAGTCAGAACCATTGTTAACGACAGCTGATTCCTCGACTGCCATGTGGACCATATTGTAGTGAAACATACTATTGTCCACGTCTCCTTGATGAAGCCTAAAGGAACAAAGACTGATGTGCTGTGTAAGATGGTCCTAGCCTCCTTTATGTGTTATCATTGATAATTCCCACCATTTGCAGCATAAACTCCATACAGTCGAAGCTGATGTTCTGTGCTTTCTATTTGCACTCGGCAAAGTCTGCATTTAGCTACATTTTCATCTAAAAACATTTCACGCTTGAGTAAATTCTCCTTACTAGGGATCCTATTTTGAAGGAATTTCCAAACAAAAGCAGCTACTTTCAGTGGTATGTTGGCATTCCAAATGGTTTTGAAGTTATGCTCCTTCTCCTTGTAGGTTGATAATGGCTTAGTGTTTTGTAGCTGATCTTACTGTATAGTTGCCTTTTGGGTCGCATTTCCAAGCTTAGTAGTCTTATTCACCTTGACCTCCAAGTACTGCAACAAGTTCTTGCAATAAAACATTTTCCCAAACAAACATTTTCCAAGCAGTCTTGTTCATCTCAATGTGTGTTGAGTTTATTTGGACTTATTTCATACTCCTTTTTTTTTAAAACTATTTTATTGACATAAAAAGATTTATTTTTAATTACTTACCCTTACATTTACATAAAAGAATTAAAATTTTTGACTTAATCATGAGAGTAAAACTAATCCACTTCATACTAATTTTGTCGTTGGAAAAGATTCGAACACTGTGGACTTACCAACAGCTGTTATTGTTCAAAAAAGAAGAAAATTCTAAACTTGGATCAACTTTGACAACAAGAATTAATAAAAGTTTATAATTCAAGACAACAAAATTAAAATTCTCCATTAGAGGCAAATAAAGAGATAACTATAGTATAAATAGTATAATTTATATTTATTTTATTAAACTTTTAATTTTATCCAAATATTTATTTTATTAAACTTTTAATTTTATCCAATATCTTATTGTAATCCTTAATCAATTTTATCAAAATTTTGAATTGGTTAACCACCCTACTAATGTCTGCTCTATTAACTACTTAATTAAAACATCAAAGATACTTATTTTCAGACAATATATACATGAATGTGCATACCTTGATTTGTTACTCATTCAATTATTATGTTAAATGGTTCAAATGCAAATTAAATAGTTGAATCTAACCTTCTCATATGAAATATATTCAAATTCATCAACCGTTGAAACCATTGTAAAGATGTTTCAATGATCACAAAGATCTGTTTTTCCATTTACAAAACATGCATTCAAGTTGATATATCAATAAAATAAAATAAAATAAAATAAAACCAAACTTGGAGACATCTAACCATAAATACCAAAAAAATGCTAACATACCTATGTCTCTCCTTATTGATCATGTACATTTTTTCTTCCGCTTTTTGTTGAATTTGTTCTATATAGTTCGTCAATATGCATAATAAATAAAATTGCTTGATAGGAAACCTTTATAGTTTTATTTTCTTGTTTAATTTGCACATATGTAAAAACAAATGTAGATGAGATTAAAAGATTTTTTTTTTTTGGCCATGAGATTAAGAGATTATATATGAGATGAATACAAGATTAGAATGTTTTAATTGGTTAATTCCAAATATTAGACTTTAGGTTAAAAGTCTTAGTTTTGAATCCTTAAGATTATCTATTATATAATCAATATTCAATTAATGTACCAAAATATAAATTGAACAAGATGAGAGGGAGCAAGTACATAAATATGTGGAATGAAGGGAGACTGAAAATGGGAGAGGTTCAATAGATTAGCTAAGAATACGTACATCAATGGCAAATTAATGTGAATGTTTAATTTGGTGAT